TTGCGTTAAGAGATGCACAAAAGGTGCTTTGGGAGAAAGAGACACAGGGAAGAAAGAGACATACAGAGGGGTTGGAGAAGGAGAGAGTAAAAGGCACACAAGGGTGGATGTAAGAATCAAACAAGGAAGGTGTAAGACACATACGGGGAAAATGGGGTATAAGATACACTACAGTGAAATGTAAGTCACATAAGGGGGATAACGTATATTAAAGGGGGTAAGACATTTAAAAGAGGGAATAAGAAACACAAAAGGGGGTAGGAATAAGAAATTCAAAGGGGAGGGTTAAGAGACATAAATACAGGTCAAGAAACTTTTTTTAGGTTGGGGGGGCAAAATGCATCTTCACCTGTGTAGCCAAGAAATCCTTGCACCAGCCCTGCTTGGTGCAACCTTTTAAAAATACTAATCTAAGATCTGAGTTACAAAATAAACATTTTCTCTAGTAATTAAAAAAATGCAAGATAACCTAAACTTATGTAAAAGTGCCTGTGAACATTGCACAGGGACAGGAGAACAATCTGATTTGATAAAGTACAATATGCAAAACATAAAAGTAATTTTTCTAAATTTTCTACTATTTTAACAATTGTTACCATATATTTTAAACATCTCTTCAAACCTTAATATGCACATGCACGCATGACTTGTTACCTTTTTACTACTGTATCATCTGGTATATTTTGTTTTTGTGTGTTTTAATCTGTTCCACTGCACTTTTTGATTCTCTTTCTTTAATAGAAACAAAAACACAATAAACTATAATTCGGTGAAAAGAGTAATCTTGTCCATGTACATATGTTACAAAACAATCGTCATTAAAGTAGCATCAAAGTAGAGTCCCAGAGACACATTGTGATTTCTACTTGTTATCCACTACAGTTTGATTTCATGCCCCTTTTATGCCGATAGATGCCTATGTACTTTATAAACACATGTCATTGACAACAGCAGTTAATTCCCTTAATACTATAAGTAACTAATTCAGGCAATTTTTCATGTATCTATGCTCCCCATTAGTACAATCATATTTTCATGTTATTTGTTTACATTAGTGGTGGGTGATGCGCAAGTTGGAAGCAGTTTGTGTTTGTGTGTAGGTATTTATAACTTGTGTGGTTGCATAGTTACATAGTTTGTACAATTGAAAAAGACAAGTCAATCCAGTTCAAAACTCCACAGATTTTACCTTAGTTTATCTAGTTGTTTATTATAACTGTGTCTCATTATACAATACAGTCTTAGTTATGATAATCTCTGCATTTGAACATTTTATAAAATTTATTACGCTGCTTAGGAAATTAAAATTGTATAAAATATTTATTGTTAGAAAATAATTTTTATATGATGTAGACTTTGACACTATCGTTAAAATCTCTAGCAGGGTTATTCCCTATAGTGAGAATGTAAAGTGAATTTCAAGTAATAATAGTGAAAAGTCAGCTTTAAGTCAATTCCCTGAGTCAGCTATGCTTCCAGTTTGGCTACTTTGTCCTTAAAGGGACACTATAGTCACAGAACAACTACAGCTGAATGTATTTGTTCTGGTGAGTAGAATCATTCCCTTCAGGCTTTCTGCAGTAAACACTGTATTTTTAGAGAAAATGCAGTGTATACACTTCAGCATAGGGATACCTCCACTGGCCAGTCCTCAGATGGCTACTAGAGGTGCTTCCAGGGGCAGTGCTGCACAGTTTGCATCACTGACCATTAGTGTCTCCAGTCCACCCTCTGCATGGAGACACTGAATTTTCCTAGTAGAGATGCATTGATTCTATGCATATCGATGAGTAGATGCTGATTGGCCAGGGCTGTGTTTGGCGTGTGCTGGCTCTGCCTCTGATCTGCCTCCTTGACAACCTCAGCAAATACAATGCTTTCCTATGGAAAAGCATTGTGATTGGCTGAGATCATCACTTCAGCTAAGCAACAATACCAGGGTCAGAGCCAGCAGCAGCAGAGTGAAACTAGAAAAGCTCCAATTTCTGGGAAAATTGTGTGAAGTGTTTTTGCCTCCACCAGTAGTCTACAACTGGAGTGGGTGGAGTAACTGGGTGGAGTGGCTTGAGTAACTGTTGTGTGGTTGGAGTGGCTGGAGTAACTGTGGAAAGTTGGAGTGTGGTTCACTTACTTACAGCAAGGGCAGAGAAGAGCTTTCAAATCTTTCAAATCCCTCGAACATTACACCAACTGCCAACAGAAACTAATAGATTTCAAATAGGGCAGAGAAGAGCAGTTAAAAACAAACTGCTCCAAATTGCTCACTTCACTGGCGGTTGCCATCTTCAAATGGTCGTATTTTAAAAACTATAAATCCTACAGCGAAGAGCTTTATATTGTGAGAATCACAAGACCCAGACCTGCATTTTGATGCATAGTATGTCTCTGAAGTATTAACAATGAAGGCACAGTCGCAGTTTATAAATTGCCCTTCAGGTTTGAGGTGGCTAGAGTAGCGTTTCAATGAATGTCAATGGACGGCATGAGTTGCAAACAAATGGTCATATTGTGAAAACTATTAGGACTGTAGCTTAGCTGTGGGCGTGTTTTGTGGCAGCAGGGATAGCTGAACGTTTTGATATAAGATTTGTGTAGGTGGGCTTGAAAATGAGGGATTGGTGGCAGTTTAGAAATCAAGTCCTGATTTTTCATCTCACACTCTAGCTTTTGTCAGCTCCCCCTCTAGTTTTGAACATTTCGCCATTCATTCCTATGGGACCAATTTCGCCACAAAAACGACGATATTTCGTGAACCATTTGGCAAAACGTTCCACAAAGTAATAGCACACCAATGGGGAACAATCCGCACGTTTCGGTATATTACTGTCTATGTATTGTAAAAACTGTGGGAGGAGTGAGGGTGGTAAATTTGGCTATAATAATAATAATATATATGTGAGGTAATAGTAAGTGGTCTTGCTATGCAAGAACACTTAATAAAAGTAAGATTTTAATATATTTTGGGAAGTAAGAGGATGGTTTTAACACAAACATCTATTCATGACCCTATAGTGTTCCTTTAAATGTGAAATTTACTTTGACTTTACTCAGGATTCTCAGTTTAGTAAATAAACCTGTAGATGTAAATTATTCCACCAAGTTCATCTAATGAGTTATTATAAATATATACAGTGGAACCTTGGAACTCAGACTTAATCCGTTCCAGAAGGCTGTTTGAGAACCAATTTGTTCGAAAACTGAATCAAAATCTTCCATAGGAATTAATGTAAATTAAATTAATCTCTTCCAGACCCCTAAAATTACAGCATTTTAACACAAATTTTACAGATCAATAAGACCATACTTGCATAAAATCATACAGAAAACCAATAAACACATGAAATTAAATTTTTACTTAATTTTACCTGTCAGCTCTGTTTGCTGACAGAATGGAGCGGTTTGCTGACATAATGGAGCTCTGTTCGATGACAGAATGAAGCTCTATTCGCTTTGTCTAGTGCTGGGAGGCCGATGCATCATACCAGCAAGGTTCACCAGGTTCACCAAGTCACCACCAGGTTGTATTTTTACCTGCCAGATGCAGACCATGAGTAGGTGTGTCCTGAGCTCTGATCAGTCAGAGCATTATTGCAGGTTACCATGGCAATGCTGTGACACCCACAAGACAGTTATTCATACCACCCCACTGGTTTACCAGGCATCAGCATGCCCCCCTTCCCTGCAAAGTAACAGGGAGAGGGAAATTAATGTATGTTGTTGTTTTATTATGATTATTAAATTAATGATGCCCTTATCCCACCCCGATACACATGCTACACCCAACTAAACAAACACACTACATCCCACTATACCCTACATACATTCACTACACCACAAATGCACACAGAGCATCCATCTACACACCCACTATACATTATGCACCCCTATACACATGCACACAATACACCCCTCTATGCACATTCAATCGTTTTACACACAAAACACTCTTTACCAGTCCACCAGCAAATGCAGTACAAGAGTGTAATAAAATTTGCTTTATTTCTTTATTTTAGTGGAGGAAGGGTCATGCCAGCAAAGATTATTCTTTTTAAAAACAATGTATTAAATCAAATCTGACCCTGTCTTGAGTCCTGCAGGTATGGGAGTCATGGATGTGCGACTCTCACACAACCATTCTTGAAATGCGCACAGCTCTTCGGCATGGTCTCTAACACCTAACCCGAAACCCCATTTAAACACAAGTTTTACTATTGGAAAATATTAGTACACAGCTTTATTAGATTATTATAAAATACAACAAAATAGGGTCATTGCCAACAAATATATATCTACATAAAACCAACCTCCCCGCATACATAAACATAAATTACTCCTGGCAATAAGCCTACCAAATTGGCAATATATAACAATAAAACTACCAGATGAAACATAACATGGCCAACCAAACGGACCCATTTCCAACTGATTAAACCGTAGGGATGTACCAAGATATCCCTACCCCCCACGTTCGGAGCCACCGATGAGCTCTAACCTACAAACCAACTGTAACATTGACTAATCCACAATAAACCTAGCCATGCCCAATTTAACCTGGCCATTCCCCGCCGCTGTGAAGAAACGGGAAAGAACCCCCAAACAAGTAAACAAATGGGAGGGTGAGAGGGACAACTAACAGGTAAGTTTAGGTTACTTTTATGTGGTTGCATTGATGAGTCATACATTTGTTGAGAATATTTACGAAGTTATTGCTCATGCACGACCTTTAGGGTCGTCGCTGGGTATCTCCGCGGTCATCTTTGTTTTTGTATTGTCATTTTCTTCCTACCTGATGGTCCATTCGGGAGATGAAATATTGGTGCAGACACTGGGAAATTAGCCCAGATGTCTCGACCAAGCGGCTTCTTACTTTAGTCGCCGTATATGATTCCAGCGGCCATCTTTTTGGTTGGACTAATAATCTATGCATCAGACTCACCTGATAGGATATAATACATGTGTTGAACCCATTGAACATTGATTGGCTGAGTTTATAAACCGCAATGGCGGGGATTACACCCAAGTTATTCCTTGAGAAGATGAAACCGGTCGGACAAATTTTGGAGCATTCTGAGATTTTCACCTACTTCTATCGGGACATCCTCCTTTCTTATTCAGACATCAGTGACCTATTTTCCAACACTCATTGGGATCTGGAACCCGGGTGAGGTGGATAGACTAATCTGACTGAGAACATCTTGGAGTCCCATTTCGGAAGGTCTATTTGACCCATCTACGTGTCTTTCTGGTCACTTTTAGTGGCAGAGTGTTTGTGAGTGCAATAATTATGTTATTTTATATTGTTATATTGTATGGTTTTACACTATGTTATGTTTCTTGAAGTAATTAAAGCTGGAATTTCTGTTCCTAACTGGGATTATTATTATACCAGTACATTCCAGGGGGACCTATTACCAGTGTATGTATACCATTTAAGTTGGTGACTCCAAACACATGTTTGTATAGCACACCACACCAATCCTGTCTGTTTTTTTGGAATTGGCTTATGCCTGAAGACTATTCGTCACAAATATGTAGTACAAGTTAAAACAGAATGTGTGTTAACCCTAACAATGGCTATAAACCATAATCCAGGCAAGTCTCCTCTGCGATATAGCAACAACAGATGATGGCTAGCAGTGCCAGAAGATAGTCTGGTCTGCTTGAACGGAGAAGAGCTGGAACTGGAGAATGGGCAGCTCATCTTAAGGTAGGAGAAGAGGGGCAGTGTGTTAAATTGGGGAGGTAGTGAAATAATTTGGGGGAGGGAGGAGGCAATGTATTAAAATGGGAGATGGAGTGGGCACTGTATTAATTTGGGAAGGGTGGGGGGCCAGTGTATTAATTTGGGGAGGGCGGAGGGCAGTGTATTAATCTGAGGGGCCGAGGGAGGGAGGGGGCACTGTATTAATTTGGGGAGAGAGGCTGCCAGTGTATTAAATTGGGAAGGGGAAGCAGTGTATTAATTTGAGGGAGGAAAGGGGCAGTGTATAAATTTGGGGGAGGGAAGAGGCAGTGTATAAATTTGGGGGAGGGAAGAGGTCAGTGTTTTTTAATTGGGGGAGGTAAGGGGGTAGTGTATTAGAGTGGTGATGGGGGCAGTGTATTAGAGTGGTGATGAGGCAGTGTACTATATAAGGAAAGGGAGGGGGCAGTGTATTAAATTGGGGGAGGGTTGTGTATTAAATAAAACTGGTGGGAGTGGGGACAGTGTATTCAATAACAATGGAGGGAGGAGAGGCAGTGTATTAGATTAAGGAGCAGTGTTTTAGATTGTACTTGTGGGCAGTGTATTAGAATGAGGGGAGGGGGCAGTGTATTAGATTGGGTCTGCATGGAGGCGCTTTTCATTGGGAAAGCATTCGATTGGCTGAGATCATAAAGTTTGATGATTTCAGCGAAAGTGAAGAACACACTCATAGGATTTCAAAATCAACAAGAATACATAATTTGTTATTTACAGCTGTGCAACAGTATACATTCACCATTTCAGTCCCATTACCAAACGTTTCTTAATATGTCAAGGTAGTTTGACTAAAACATTGACAATAACTTATATGCAAATGTTACTTCGAGCGTGAGGACATCCAGTGTCAGTTAGGCAACTTTTTTTATGCTTTACTTTTCAAAATAAACCTACGTTTCTATGAAAACTGAAGTTATTGCTTTTTTGCGGCACACATAAACTTAAAGAATGTTTATTTGGCCTCTGTTAGCCTTTGAGTTTGAAATTCTTGTCCTAGATGGTAGTGAATTATGGATTAGGAATAACAACGCATGAGAAGGATTTTCTAGTTGTATAGACAACAAACTAAGCAACAAAATGTTGTTTATCAATTAGCAGTTGCTAAAGCCAGTAAGTTATAGTCATGCGTAAAAAGGAGACATTATTTCTCGGGGTGAAAGTATAATTTTGTCTCAATATAAATCAATGGTAAGGACAACCCTTGAATATGCCATGCCATTTTGTGCACCTGTTCTAAACAATGAGATTATGGCAATAAAAAAAGTGTAGAGGCGGGCTACAAAATATTAAGAGTAATAAAAGATTTAGTTATGAAGAAGCGCTAACAAATTTAAATCATGTTTAGTTTAGAAAAAAGTGCCTCAGAGGGGAAATAATAGCATTATACAAACATTCTTGGGGCAATACAAAGCATTGTCTGAAAATCTATTTATAAACATGATTATACATAGGACACAAGGTGACTCATTTAGACTGGAAGAAAAGAGATTTGGTCTAAGGCAAAGGAAAGGTTTTGGCAAAGGAAATGATTCTTTACAGTAAGAACAAGGATGTGGCGTTCTCTACCTGAAAACATGGTTTTATCAGAACAGATGTTTAAACAGCGACTGGATGAAATCTTGCAAAAAAAATATTTAGGGATATAATTTTTAATATGTTGTGTAACAGCTTCTTGCAATAAGGAGAACTCTAACTGCCTTTCAGGGTTCCTAAATATTTTTTTCCTAGTTGACAGGTTGGAAAATGCTACGAACTGAGTGTTTTGCCTTCTTTTGGATCAACAGCAAAAAAAAAAAAAACGTAAGAAAGGCTAAACTTGATGGACACAAGTCTTTTTTTCAGGCTATACAACTATATAACGCACTGCAACCAATACCTATTGGCGCAAGTTTTTTTTCTGGAATTGACGATTCTTTAAACTTGCAAGTTTTGAAATATGATTCAAATTGTTGTAGTACTTTGTCTACTTGTGTGTATATGTGGGCTTAGTGTATCTCTGATCATTCACATTACTTAGTGTTTGAAATGTATGGTAGATTATGTTTTATGATCCAGAAAAGAAATACATCCACTGAAATCTAAATGAAACTCAAAACAGCTAAGTGCCACATATCTAAATGAATTAAATATGAAATAAAATGTAATTAAAATATGTGTTTGTGTTTTAGATTACTGTATTCATTAATGCCATGAACAAATTGTGTATTATTTGTTTGACTGAATTCGCCATATTTATTTTCTGAGGACTTTGATAAAGCTCAGATTAAGTTCATTATAATACCTGAATATAACTAATTATGACAGCTTCACAGATCAGCTCTTCCTACTGTATATTTAACATTGCAATGCATAGCTGACCATTTTAAGATATAAAATAACAGCTAGACTTATTAACACACTTTCTGTGGCACCTGTTCAAACCTCAGGGTCTCAGGTTTGATTCTTAACAGGACCCACTAGAAAATCGATGAAACGAGTAGAAGGATGGGTTTTAGTATAAGCTATGATTATTAATCATGATGATAGTAACAATATCAGCATTCACTTGCTATGTAACGGCAGCTCTGTGTTATAAAGTATGGTCGTATGGCCCCCTGAACTTTTATCACATTATTATTATATTTTTTTATTTTTTTTTACTGAATGATCCACTGCTGCACTTATTTTTCAATCCATCCTAACAAAATGATGCCCTTCTTTAGAAATTATGTAGAGAACCTGTGATCACTTCATATTCTACGTACAACAGAGGGGAGCGTTTCCATAGAGAAAATACCAAATCTCCTTCCATAAGAGTGAGGAGGGAGTATTAAGAAGGGGGAGCATACTTACAAGTCACTGGTATTCTTCCTCATGTTTTTCTTTATCCTTAGAGGCACAGAGGAGAGAGCTTCACTCATCAGCACTGCCACAATCAGGTGAGTCTAAAAATCTAATCTCACTCATCTTAGTCCCCAGCTTCTAGGGGGAAAGTGTTACAGGTGGCTGCAAACCTTTCTTCTCTGCACTGAGTACACTTTTTTTTTCTTTCAGAGAAGTTATGTGATGGATTTTTAACCACTTTCCCACTCTCTCTACATTTATTTAATAATGAGATGTTCTGCAGTTTAGTTAAATTATTGCACATTTGGGGTGTGATGTTTAAATAGCTATCAATGCTTACAAATGTATGTAGAAATGCAATCTAATTTAATATTTCAAATATCTATTATTTTTTTATCTGATATTAAAGTAGGATGTATTAAAATATCTGAATTATTTTAAAACGGTCAGTTTTGGTACTGTAACATGCTTCCATGGAGAAGAGAGTTCTTTGTGATAAAAAAAAAAATATATATATTTTATAATAAAGAACATGAAACCAACAAATTGGAAACATAATTAAACATAATTATGGAAAATCAATCATAGCATAGGGTGAATTTAGATTTTGTATTAACCCTATCTCAGCAACTTTATGACATATTTGCTAAGGTACACAAATTGGGGAATAGCTTTATAAAGCAAAAATGATAGATAATAATGTATCTCCTTGGCAAACTATATGTAAGGGAATTTAAGAAAATGGTTTAGATAGTTAATAGTTTAATTACTAGAATTGGTGCACAATGGATTGTGATATCTTTTGTAGATTTATCAGATTTATAGAAAGAAAAAATATATCTTTATTAAATGGTTATTCGCTAAATCAGGAATTGTCTGAAATTCAGCAGGGACTTTGAAATTTAAGGTCAAACTAACTGAGCTGGAAAGATAGCTTGGAGACATTTTTCCAACTCAGGTATTTTGACTCTAAACGTACAATTATCTGGAGAGTTCCTAAGAATTCACTATTTGGTAGATAACCCAGCCTAACATGCCACTGGCATACTAATCATGCTATGCTGGCCAATGTTACAGGCCTATGGCATTGGTTCGGTTAAATGTATTTACATTTAATAGTGTGAACTGGACTTGTGCACAAATCCTTTTCACGTGTGGTGAACCAATAGCTTCGTTCGGTAGGTATGAACAATCGGTTTGTTCATCTGTAGAATGACAGGCATTGGTGACCGCATGCAGTGATTATAGTAGTCAAAATAAATGTAACTTTATAGGTAGGTGAAATGCAGTTATCTTTATTAACCTTTTAATTGCTAGTTTAACTCAAATTAGATGATCACACATATGATATAAGAAACAAATGTAGTTGCTTATTATTTATGTTGAGTAGCACAAACTTAGCAATTACTTAATGTTGTTTTATGACTATGAAAAGGTTATAATGATATCTGATCATCTATATCAGAGAATTGCTCTGCCTTTGCATTACTTGTAGTGAAACTGCTGTACCTGAACGACTGCATTAATATACAAAACATAAATTCGTGATCATTTCCTAATAATTGCTGTTTCTATGAACCCTATGGATAGCAAGCTTAAATGAACAATTTAGACACCCAGACCACTTCAGTTTAATGAACTGGTCTGGGTGCTAGGTCCATCTAGGATTAACCCATATTGTTTATAACCATAGCAGTTTCAGAGAAACGGCTATGTTTATAATATGGTTAATCCAGCCTCTAGTGGCTGTCTCTTGACAGCCGCTAGAGACGCTTGCGTGCTTCTCACTGTGAAAATCACAGTGAGAAGACGCCAGCGTCCATAGGAAAGCATTGTAAATGCTTTCCTATGAACTGGCTGAATGTGCGCGCGGCTCCTGCCGTGCATGCGCATTCAGCCGATGACGTCGCTATGGAGGAGGAGAGGAGGAGGAGAGCTCCCCGCCCGGCACTGGAGAAAGGTAAGATTTTAACCCCTTCCTCTCCCCAGAGCCCGGCGGGAGGGGGACCCTGACGGTGGAGGCACCCTCAGGGCACTATAGTGCCAGGAAAACGAGTATGTTTTCCTAGCACTATAGTGGCTCTTTAAACATTTCACATAGTAATATCCATTTAATACCAAATGTTACAATTATCTGTATCTACTGGATATGCAACTGGCAACTTATTTTCTTCTATTACATGGCCCATGTAAATCGCAACTGTAAAATAAAACCCTGTCCAGTTGTGTAGAATGATATACATATATATTTAGTTTTATTCTGTATTTTCTCCAGTTTCAGAAACTTAGGATGAGTGATTTAAATTTGTGCAATGGTTTTGTCAGTTGGGCAAATTTCTTTTTTTTAATGGGCACGCTAAACACCCAAACCACGTAACCTTAATTAAGTGGAGGTTTTTTTTGTGCACAGGCATTGTTCCTGTTTGCTTACAAAGTAAAACATTGTAGTTTCAGGGAAATGGCAATGTATGCATATTCGATAAAACACGTCTCGGTCTGATAGCAATTAGAGGCACTTCCTCATATTGACTCTTAAATATCAAAGGTCTCTGCATCCTGTGTCATCACACCTAGCATGATGATGCAGAATGCAATTAATGTTTCTTACGAAGAATAGAATTCCTGCTCTGTAGGTCCCAAATGTTTCTCTGTTAGAAATATTGGGATAGACCACAGATCATCCACACTGATGACATCACAGTAGGAGGTGGCTCAACTGAGAGGAGACTATCCCAGCTGTGGATTGCAAGTAAAACAAAACATAGAAATTGTACCATGTGTTTGTTCCACCATAATTTAATGGTTTCTTTAATTGCCAATACATATTTATTAGTTTTTAAAGGACAGAAAGAGACAGGGCTTTTTAAAAAAAATTATTAATATCCCATGTGTATCCTAACACAATATTAAGTATGAATAACATTTTAAAAAGGGGGGAGGGAGGAAATGTTTTCAGTTTTTAGATTTTTTACGCACCAAGTGCACTAAAGAAAAATTTATTCAAAATAGATTTACGCATCAGTCCTGATTGGTAAAAGCCTCAAATGCATACCCCCCAATGTTTTAAATAAACAGACATGGACACTTTAGGGGTGTGAGTGGAGCCAAGGGCGTGGCTGTTCTGAGAACTTGTGTGACATACTAACAGCAATTTATGCAACTACAAGCTAATTTCGAACCAGAGTAATGTATCTTTTTTTTTATATACAGACTGATTCTAAACACATCTATGGTAGTTTAAAGACACATTGCTGTGAGCATTGTTGGTGTGGAGCTCTGTTATACACTCAGACACACCAACAATATAGAGCTTCCAGAAGAGAGGGAGATTACGATAGTAAAGAGGGACAAGTGGATTTGAGCCCAAAATAGAGACTGCCTCTCCTAAATTGAGACACTTGGCAATTATTTAGGATCTAAATTAATTTTTGGTAGGTAACTTCAACCTATACCAGGGATAGGAGACAATTGCCACTCCAGATGTTGTGCACTACATTTCCGTTGATGCTTTGCCAGTATTATGGTTGTAAGAGCATTATGGGAAATGTAGTGCACAACATCTTAGCTTTAACACTTAGTCTTCACTAACCCTACAGTGACCCTATCATTAAACCGAAGTCCGAGGGATTCGCTCTGCTGAAGGCAGCAAAGGGATTATCCATCCCTCAGTACAGAGCACTCTGTGTGCGGCCTTTACTGTGTGATTGCAGCATGAGAAAGAGATCTCTAAAACTCTACCATGCTGACCTTGCCAATCACACAGGGATCATTGCTGGACAGCTGGCAAAGCCCAGCGCTGATCACAGATGGCAGGTAGGCATGCAGGTAGAATCTCCCAGAGTCTTTTCAGTCCGTGGTTTCCCTCAGACTGAAGGCAGGCTCAAACTCACTGCTGCTATGCTTGATCTCTCAGATACAGGGAATTAAATGCATTTAAAGAGCTGTATGCAGGGATCACTTTGAGCACTGGATACAGCTCATAGTTCAGTCTGGGAACACTAAATATTGCCACAGTTGACAGATGGGAGCTATAGGTATCAACTAATACCTGGATCTTCCTGGTGTAATCAGGGAATTCATCCTGCTCAAGCCAAATATTAGGACATTCCATGCCACCCTAATATCATTGAAGCCCACTCTGATGGACGGCATGGAATGTCTTAATATTCTCAAGAGGTTAAGGTGGGGCGGGGGTAGCAATCTAAAAGGACAAAGTAACATTCATTTTAAAAATAGTAGATTTATTTTTAAGGTTAGAGGGTTCATTTAACATATTAGATGCATTTATCCAAATTCACAATTACACATGCATTCTGATGTTCAATAAGTATTTATCTGGCATATTTGCTTTTTGAATTTACAGACTAAATTGTTGTATATAGGGAAAATTAATTAACTTGCCCTCCCTCCTTATTCTAAGGCTACCAGGGCCAATAAGAAAGGAATCATTTAATGAAGAAAAAGATAGAGATACATGTATTTGAAACCTGAGATGAAGCGCTAGATAACACAGAAAAAAAACTTTTATTTATATATATATATATATATAATTCAGACCCCTTATTTGTTTCACATTTTGTTTGTTGCAGCCTTATGCTACAGTTTTTTTCCTTTTCACATCTATCTACACTCAATACTCCATAATGACTAAGCAGAAAAAAAACTGAAAGGTCACATTGACATAAGTATTCAGACCCTTAACTCTGTACTCAGCTGAAGAACCTTTGGCAGTGATTACAGCTTCAATTATTTTTGTGTATGATGCAACAAATATTGCACACCTGGATTTGAGTGGTTCTGCCATTCATCTCTGCAGATTCTCTTGAGCTATGTTAGGTTGGACAACCATTTTCACATCCCTTTAGAGTTATTTGCTTGGATTCAAGTCCATGCTCTGGCTGGGCCACTCAAGGTCATTCACAGAGTTGACCATATAGCATTCTTGTGTAGTTTTTGCTGCATGCTTAGGGTCATTATTTTTTTGGAACGGTCTGTATACTGAGCTCTCTGGACAAAGTTTTCATTGAGGATATCACTGCTTTTGGCAGCATTTAGCTTCCCTCCAACCCTAACCATTCTCATAGTCCATGCTGCAGAAAAATCTCAAAACATAATGCTACCACCATTATGCTACAGCTTTGGGATGATGTTGCACCGGTGATGAGACATTGTGCTTTTCATTGAGGCCACAATGTTTAATCTTTGTTTCATCAGACCTTACATTCTTGTTTCTCACAGTCTGAGAGTCGTTTACCTGGCAAGTTTCCAGGCAAGTTTTCAAATGTCTTTCAGTGAGGAAATGCTTGTAAATGTATAAATGATTCAGAAGTTACATGGGGAATGCCAAATAAACACATCATCACCCTCTAAGATAAAAATTGCAGTACCTTTTATTTCTTCATTTAAAAAATACATTATCTGGATATCAAGAGTGGACCACTACATCAGGAAAACAAAACCACATGTTTCTTGTGCTTAGCATTATATCTGAGATATATTTAGGAATATCTAAAACATGGAGAAATAAAAAAACAAGTTAGTTAACAGAATTTCTTAATCATTCCTTACAGAAATATTGAATGGATGAAAAGTTTTAGATATGAACGTGTCCCTGTTTTATTTTCAGTGGGTCTTGGTTTTGTTATCCATTGCATAATAGTTGAAGAATGGGTCACTGAATTAATTTTACAGATGAATAGGTCATCAAGTAAAGGTCACGTACGTCATTTGGGTCCCAGACAAAAAAGAATAATTGTTATATGGTATGCCTTATCTTGCAATATTTCAGACAAGATCTGAAATGTTACTGTGTATGCAGAAATCCAATTTTTATCATATAGAGTACATGCAAAAAAATAAATCAGAATCTAAATATTTTTACTATATTATTCTGATAACTATTTGAAAGGAAGGTGGTAGCATTTTTGATTCTATTAAATTGTTTTTAGAATGTAGAAAAATACGTCTTGATTTGGCATACTGACTTTTTTTTTCGGATGACTTAAACCTGTCATTTTTAATATATAAGGAAGTTGCTACTACAGACAAACCATGTGCCCAGGATCTCCTTCACGTTTCTCACCCCCTCCTTTGGATTCTTGCTAACAAAACCATGAATTAAGTTGTCTGTAAACTAATGGCAGCCATGGGTGCAACTGTTATCAGCTTGAGTGTCCGCTCCATTCACGTTTTCGAATTAATGAAACTGCTGTCGAGAGTTTAATTATGTGTCCAATAAACGCACAGCAAATAGGGGTAAATGATATCTGATCAACTCTAAATTAAACTAATCGAATGGGTAGGCTTTGATTAGCTGGGGTTTGTCAGTTACTTCCTACTCTAAGTGATCACGGCAGGATGCTGCAAAGCCTAGTGATTTGCGACAACAATGTAACTTAAATTGTAAAATTTTCTCTATTTTTTTATTGCAATTTCTACAGGATGCATTAACAGTGGGGTTTTACTCCTGCATGGAGTGTCTCTTTAAGAGTGCAAGCATAAGCAATAACCCTACATCTGATAGATGTATAAACCAGAAATAAAAACCATACAGCAGACCTCTACCTCCCTTGCCTCGCTCTTCAATTAGACCCCATGCCGGGCAATTATCAATTATATATTCCCATAAACCTCTGTTGAATCACAGAACAAATTACAGACAACTGCACTGTGAGTGGAATCATATTCACAAAATTTAAAGGGTGTTTCAAACAACACCCTTTCACACATCCAAGGAGTCCAGTAAGATTTCTGTTATAAGGAATATGACAGCATGTATACAATCTCGTACATGCATGCATGCTCACTCACGTTCTCATTCAACTGAATCTGTGTTCAGGTATTAGATGGACTAGTCTAAATACACCTTTTTGTCTTTTTAGTGTGATATATTTAGGTAATTCATTACATTTTATGTAAAATCACCCCTGGAGAGTCCCATTAAACATTTGTTGGAACATACTCCTAGGTGATCTGCCATGGACTTAATATAGTATAGTTCTATACAGACCGTGCCATGCCCCCCAAGTACTTGGAGACCCTCTTGAGAGACACACAAATGAGTCAATTTAGAAAAATGTCTGATCTTTATTAAGTAGAACAATGGTTTTGTAAAGCAATAAAGGGGCAGTATCATTCATTACCAATCAAATTTTGACCACTATTAACTAACATCATAAACAAGCTTGTGCTTTTAATGTATATAATAAAAGTTATATTTTAGATTATTCTGGGCTGGGTATTGAGTTTATTCTTTCATTTTTGTGCTACTCTATCATTAGGGGTTATCCCCCACTTATGCAATCCCAGCTTGACACACTTTCCCATACCCCATATTTTTCAACTATGACTTACATATGTTGATTAAATAAATATAGCTGTCTGATAGAATGCTGTGATTTAGTTATGTGGGTTAAATTAAAACAAATAGTGCATGTTATTTAAACATATAATCCAGCGTCATGTTGCACATTGAGTGTATAATTATACAGTGTTATCTATGTTTCTAATAAATGTCCATGCATACTATCAGTTTTGATTACGTTTCATTGATGGAGATTGCACACTACCTCTAAATTACAGCTATATATGTAAATCATGGTCATTGTCTTTATTCAGTTATCCTCCTGTCAAAAATGTTCTATAGTCTCTTCTTGTCTATCCTCTATAGCAGGGGTCAGCAAACTATGGCACGTGTGCCATGATTGGCACTTGAGGTTTCCTTGCACGGCACTCAAGGCTGCCAGAGCCAAACAGGCTCTGGCCTTTCAGAAGCCCAACTGGGAATTCATATATCTGCTAGTGCAAACCGAGCGGTGATTGCAGGTGGTGAGGGACACTCCTCAATTTATGCAATGCAGCTCTTAGAGGGAGTGATCTTTGCTTCCTCACCAGAATTGTAAACGAAAACCTGCATTCCTACTCTCCTACTCTTAAACATATACCTGGCCAAGCTGGATCCCATAATACAAGCAGCCCACACACAAACACATACGTACAGTCCCCACAAACACAATACTACTGATAATCCACATGCACGCACACAACACTACAGCAGTCTCTCACATGCAACCCCACAAATATACACACTATCAAACACACAATGTGACATATCATCCACACACAATTCCACAAGCAGCCCGCATTCATAGGTATCATGCACAATACCACAAACTACTAACGAACATAAACAAAATAACAGCCCACATACACACAAATACAACACTGCAGTGCAACTGCAGCCCCCATAAATAACACAAGCAGAATACACCAACATATACAACTCAATTTAAAAAAAAATAGAACCAGCATGCTAAGGAACTTCAAGATCTTGTTTTGGCACGGTACTACTAAGATTGCCTACCCCTGCTCTATAGTTTATTATTATTATTATTGCCATTTATATAGCGCCAACAGATTCCGTAGCGCTTTACAATATTATGAGAGGGGGGATGTAACTATAAATAGGACAATTACAAGAAAACTTACAGGAACAATAGGTTGAAGAGGTCCCTGCTGAAACGAGCTTACAGTCTATGGGAGGTTTGAGGTGGGGTATAAAATACATTAGGACAGGAAATATCAATCAAATAGGGTGGGAGTGAAGCAGAGCTGGAGGAGAGAGTAAAGCACTACCCTATAGGAGAGAGCAAGAGACAGGTATGTAAGGTAGAGGTTACTCTGGGAGGCCATAAGCTTTCCTAAAGATATGGGTTTTAAGGCACTTCTTAAAGGATTGAAGACTAGGGGAGAGTCTGATGGGGTAGGCAGGCTATTCCATAGGAAAGGAACCACCCGCGAGAAGTCCTGCAAGCGCGAGTTGGCCGTACGAGCAGCGGTCAGGAGGTGGTCACAAGCAGAGCGGAGGGAACGAGGAGGGTCTGTGAAGAGATATAAGAGGGGCTAGAATTGTTCAGTGCTTAAAATGTATGGGTTAGCACTTTGAATTGACTCCTATAGGATACAGGGAGCCAATGTAAGGACTGGCAGAGGGGTGAGGTGTGAGAGGACCGACTAGAGAGGAAAATCAGTCTGACGGCAGCATTCATTACAAACTGTAGCCGGGCAATACGGCTTTTAAGGAGACTAATCAGGAGAGGGTTACAATAATCCATGCAGGAAATTACTAGAGCATGGACAAGCTCCTTGGTAGCATCTTGTGTAAGAAAGATGCGGGCGGATGCGGGCTATGTTTTTAAGTTGGAATCTACAGGATTTGGCAACAAACTGGATGTGAGGCTCAAAGGTGAGGCCAGAGTCAAGTATGATGTCAGGACAGCGTGCTTGCAAAGATGGACTTATGTGGATATCACTGACATGAAGGGAGGGCGAAAGAGGAGGATCAGTATTAGGCGGAGGAAAGACAAGGAGTTCAGTTTTAGAGAGATTGAGTTTCAGAAAGCGCAAGGACATCCAGTCAGAGATGGAAGAAAGGCAAGCAGTGACACATTGCAGGACGGCAGGGGACAGGTTTGGGGAGGAGAGGTATATCAGAGTGTCATCAGCGTACAGGTGGTAGTGGAATCCAAAAGAGTTAATAAGTTTGCCAAGAGAGGCAGTATAAATTGAAAATAGAAGGGGACCAAGGACAGAGCCTTGGGGAGCTCCAACTGAGACAGGACGAGGGGAGGAGATATCCTTGGAAAAGGAAACATTGAATGAGCGTTGGGAGAGATAAGAGGAAAACCACGAGAGGACAGAGTCACAGAGACCGAGCAATTGAAGAGTTTGAAGGAGGAGAGCATGATCATCGGTGTCAAAGACAGCAGAGAGGTCAAGGAGAATTATTATGGAGTAGTGATCTTTGGATTTTGCTGCAATTTAGGTCATTAGTAACTTTGATAAGAGCAGTCTCAGTAGAGTGGAGAGGGTGGAAGCCAGAGTGAAGAGGGTCAAGGAGAGAGTTGGAATTGAGGAAGCAAGACACACGGGTAAAGACAAGTCTTTCCAAAAGCTTTGATTAAAATAGGAGTAGGGATATGGGACGATAGTTAGAGGGGGAGGATGGGTCAAGAGATTTTTTTTTCAGGATAGGTACTACAGTGGCATGTTTAAGGTCAGCAGGAACAGTGCCAGAAGAGACAGCAGTTGAAGATGTGTGTTAGGGAAGGCACAAGACCAGGGGAGAGAGATCTGATGAGGTGAGATGGGACAGGATTGAGCAGGTAAGTGGTGGGGCGAGAGGAATGGAGAAGCACAGCCACCTCTTGTTCAGTAGCTGGGTAGAAAGTCTGAAGGATAGGAAAGGCATGATTTACGTGTGGTTGAGAAAGAGAACGGCAAGGAGGGGAGAATTCTTTCCTTAGCTGTTCAATTTTGTCGGTAAAGTAGCATGCAAAGCTATCAGCTGTAAGGTTAGTTTGCGGGGTGGCCACAGCAGGGCGGAGAAGAGAATTAAAGGTGTCAAAGAGACGTCTGGGATTTGCAGGAGCATGAACTAATGAGAGAGAAAAAGTATGACTGTTTGGCTAGGGCAAGGGCTGCACTGTATGAACGCAATATGAATCTATAATGGAGAAAGTCTGCCTGGGTGCGGGACTTCCTCCAGGAGAATTCAGCACAACGGGAGCAACTCTGCAGATAGCGTGTTGATTAAGTATGCCAAGGTTGGGTCATGTCCTCATCGAGGTGCATGTTTGGAGCGGGGCTGCAGCGTTCAAGGCAGAGGTGAGGGCAGTGTTATATGTAGAGATGGCCAGTGAGGGACAGGAGAGGGAAGGGATGAATAGCAGTTGTGAATCAATGTCAGCTGACAGCTGCTGGAGGCCAATAGAATTAAGGTTTCTCCTGAGTTGAGGGGGGTTAGGCTGAGGTTGTTGGGTGAGAGGGTAAGCGAGAGCAAGCGATAAGAGGTGGTGATCAGAGAGAGGAAATGAAGTGTTGCAGATATTAGATACTGTACATGAATAAGAGAAAATAAGGTTAAGGGTATTGCCAGCTATATGGGTGAGAGAATTAGCCCACTGCAATAGCCCAAGGGAGGAAGTAATTGAAAGTAGTTTAGATGCTGCTGGGGTCGAAGGTGGGTTAATGGGAATATTGAAGTCTCCAAGAATAAGGGATGGAATGTTAGAAGAGAGGAAGTAGGGTAGCCAGGCAGCAAAGTGGTCAAGGAAGAGGAGAGGGAAACCAGGGGGACGATAGAAAACAGCAATGTTAGCTGAGAAGGGTTTGAAAGGTGAATTGAATGAATTTCAAGTGACTAGAAAGAGAGGGAAGTGGGGTGGGCAGAGTTTTAAAGGAGCAGTGGGGTCAAAGGAGAAAACCTACACTGCCACCTTTACTCTCTGCTTGTCTTGGATTGTGGGTAAAGTGAAGACCACCAAAGGACAGTGAGGCAGGGGTAGCAGTATCAGAGGGAGAGAGCCATGTTTCTGTTAGTGCAAGTGGGTTTAGGGAGTGTGAGATAAATAGGTCATGGATGGAAGTTGATTTAAAGGTGCTGCACAACTAGCGTGCATTCCAGAGGGCAGCTTTAAAGGAGGAATTATAGTGAGAATTACATGGGATGGGTATCTTTATTCTCTATTGTCTTGCCTCTGAAGTGCAGCAGTTTAAAGTATAATCAAATCTTTATGCTATTTTAGCACAATTTATTATAATTTGGTTAATAAAACTACAGTTTAATATTAAAGGGACACTCCATGCGCCATAACTACCACAGCTCACTGAAGTTTTTATGTTGCTAGGAGTGGCTAGTTTCCCTCTATTTGTACTTTGCCAAACTGTTTTAATGGTTTGACTTCTTACCTGGGGTTCACCAGGTGTTCCTACTCTCCACCACTACTAATCCTGGAGAGGCAGAAGTTCCTCAGCAGGAATTTCCATTAGTTCTCCTGAGACTCACCCTGCAGTAAAGTGCTAGTTCATTGGCTGAGAGTAAGCTGTAGTAGTTTTGGTGCTTGTAGAATGCCTGGACTGGCCATTTGGCAAACCAGGCAAATGTCTGTTGTGCCACTATAGACATAGGCTGACAGGGGAGATCAAAGGATATCCTTGGTCGGCCTCTGATGATCTCCCTCAGCCCATGCTAATGCCAGGGAAAGTGAAGACGTAGAGATTGAGCTGTTCTGGCTTCCATATCAGAACATTGCCAATGTTCTAATTCTTTCCCTAGCACTAGCCGATAGCAGCCTTCTGAACCTGCTGGGTGTGCAAACAAAGTGCCTTTCCCACTGGACCACCAGGGTACGACATATGTACATACATGTTAGCGTTTTTTATTAATTAGAAATAATTAATTCATTTTTCAGTTTCAGTTTATGCAATTTGTGTACTTTTTATCTTTCATTAATTGTATGTTTATCCATTTAGCCAATAAATTTTTTTACATATAGTTTTACTATGTTATATTATTGATTATACTAGCGCTAACCCCCGCCTTGCTTATGTCTATTGGTATTGTGACCTATTCTCATCCAACCTCATGCATGTAATTTCTCAAGCAGCTTTCAAACTCGTGTAGAACCACAGGCAGCCTCCCATACACACATACAACGTCATCTCCCAAAGTTGTTCCTCTTTTGTCCTCTGGTATGGCACTTATTTGAACACCAGAGACAAATTACTGGCAAATGGCTGGTTAGAGCAGTGGTAATATCACTGCCTTAGAAATGAGAAAATTAAGTTTGAATCACAATAAAAACACTTTGCCAGAAAGTGTCCTTGAGCAAAACACCTATATATGGATATATATAGGGCTGTGTGTGTGTGTGTGTGTATATATATATATATGTTTGTTTGAGCAGAACATTCTTTACCTTTAAATATTCCCTTCTTATTCTGTAGAATATGTTGGCACTCAGGGCTGGCCTTAGGCCATTAGGCGCCCTGTGTGAATAATCTTCACAGCGCCCCCCCCACACGCCTCCCCATTGACCGCAGTCCTACACCTTCATCGATGTATGTGTATGTGTACAGGGATGTAGTGTTTTTATAGGGGATTTATTAAATTAATAATGATTTAAAAACATATATTCATTCCCCCTTCCCTGTTACCTTGCAGTGAGGGGGGAATGTTGATCTCTGGTGTTGCAGTCTGCTGGGAATCTGGTCTGAATCCTTCACCTGGTGCAATCTATGAGTAACTGTCTCATTAGCTCAGGCATAGACAGTGTCAAGGCTTTCCTCTGGTAATCCGTGGCAATGGACTGATTGGCCGGAGCTTGGAAGACAGATAATTATGGTCTGCAGCAAATGGAAGTGCATTCCAGAGGTGCCAGACTGCCTCTGCTGCATTATAGAGAGGCAGACTAAGTATGTCACATAATACTGTGAAACACGGTTACAGGCAGACAGACACACACTCACGCTCAGTTACAGGCAGACACACACACAGTTACAGGTAGACAGTCACACACATTCAGTTACAGGCAGACACTCGCGCACACTCAGTTACAGGTAGACAGTCACACACACACTCAGGTACATGCAGACAGCCACACACACACAGTTGAAGTCCCACACAAAGGCACAGTTACAGTCCCACACAGGCAGACAGTCACACGGTTACAGTCCCACACAGGCAGTCACACTCAGTTTCAGTCACACACATAGTACACTCACACACAGTTACAGTCAGACAGACAATTAAAGTCACTCACAGGTAGACAGTCATACACACATACACACAGGCAGACAAACCGTCAGACAGTCACACACACACTTACCTCTTTCCATTATGGCTGGAAGGGGGGAGTGGAGGCAGTGCAGCTCCTGTAGATTAGTTGTTGGGGAAGCGGGGACTCCTTCCTCCTTCCCCTTTCCCCCTTCCTGTGATGCAGTTACCATGGGCTTCTGGTAGGTTTTAGCCCCGCCACCACTGCCATTTTAGCCCTGCCTCCACCTCGTCTCACTATATTTTTCATACACCCGGGTGGAGAATAATTAATCCTCCACTGGGTATTTAGCTCCCCTGCACTCTTCTCAACCGGCCATGTATGAGCTGTGTCAGCTGCACAGTTCGCACACCCCTAAGGCCGGCCCTGTTGGCGCTATACAAGAGTCATTAAATTTGTATGCACTGCTCTAAACAAACACATGGCAATTTTCCCTGTGAGAGCTCTTCAGCAGAGCTCTGTGTATGGGCTGCACTGGAGGGGCATCAAATTAACATGCCCACTTTGGAAGGATGTGCATGTCATTAGTGGTGACACTACACGGCCCCTTGTTTTGGGCTGCTCTGCCTTTAATTGCTGGGGAGCATATTTGTCCCAGTCTGCCTTGTAGTGTTCCTTTAAGAGCAAAATTAATTATATACAGAACATGTTTACATTATACAGCAATTTTATGTTATATGCACATTTTCATTTGCCCAACACACTTATATAAACAGAATATAAATACATACATTGTAGATCCACCTGCTCATGGATGTGTTATAAAAAATTTTAAATAAAACTATATACAGGTATATGTCAACCTTACGTTTAGCTGGATGCTTACACTGATATATAAAATACATTTTTGCAGTGTGAATTTATTCCACTCAGGAAAACTTAGTGTATGTGCAATTTAAAGTAATGTGTGATACGAAAAATCAAAACACTGATCTGACGTGCTGTTAATTAGTAGCTCAATTCTACCCTGTGGATTTATAGCTAAAATAAACCACAGTCAGTTCCATTGGTTTCCCTGTGAACTGATGGACGTGTGAAAGCCAGAGCCTCATTTTATACGGATGCTTTGCACAGCAATCTCAACACGTGACATTATATAAAAACATGCGAGTTTATCAATGAAAAAGAAACATTTGTTTTTACGCATTGCACCATTTTCATCTTACACTTGTCTCTGTAAAATGGTGTTTACTTTGAAGTGACAGTTCTTCTCCAAACAGAGTATACACCCGAGTGCAGGAGATAATGATTATGTAATGTTGCCTCTGAGACTGTATCATAGCCCAGGAATGAGAATTACCCCCATGATGGCATACCATTTGCAAAAGTAGAGAACCCAGGGTATTCAATATGGGGTATTTCCAGACTTTCTTAGTAGTCACTTAATAACAAGCACTGGCCAAAGTTAGCGTTCATATTTGTTTTTGTGTGAAAAATGCCTGCACCTTGTGCTGATCAGACATGTTATGCATGAGCTCCCAGTCTGCTTGCTGATTTTTGGGGGATATCTTTAGTCGGGCTGACTTCCCCACTCTCTAGCTTGCCATATGGGTGCCTCTATTCCTACCTCCCTTCTCCCTCTTGACCGGCTGGGGTTATCCCGCTCCCTGCTAGATTGACCTGCATTACTACTCATACTCATGGGCGTCCGCAGGGGTGGATTTTTCAGTTTGTGCCGTTTTTTGGTTTTTTTTAGATTGACAATATACTGCAATACCGGCGTTGGCCAGTAGGTGTGTGGAGAGAGGCAGGGATAGGAAGCTACATCTTATCCCTGCTTCTCTCTGGTGACTGAAACCGCAGGAAAGCTGCACAGAGTACAGCCAGCAACTCCCAGACTGCAGAGACAGCCTACAGATCAGCTAAGTGAGGCATGGGGGGCCAACCTACAGATCAGGTAGGTGAGGCATGGGGGGGCAGCCTACAGATCAGGTAGGTGAGGCATGGGGGGGCAGCCTACAGATCAGGGAAGTGAGGGATGGGAAGACAGCCTACAGATCAGGTAAGTGAGGCATGGAGGGGATTCCTACAGATCAGGTAAGTGAGGAAAGGGGCAGCATACAGGATGGGTTAGCAAGGAGCAGGAAGGTAAAGTAGGAGAAGGAGCAGAAAGGAGAAGGAACAGAAATGAGCAGGATGGGGCTGCAAGGAGAAGGAAGGGGCTGCAAGGAGCAGAACTGGTCTGCAAGGAGCAGGAAGGGGCAGCAAGTGGCAGAAAGAGTCAGCAAGGCGAAAAAAGGGGCTGCAAGGAGCAGGAAGAGTCAGGAAGGGACAGAAGCAGCACAAAGGTAAAGGAGCAGAAAGAATCAGAAGGAGCACAAAGGTAAAGTAGGAGAAGAAGCAGAAAGGGGCAGCAAGGAACTGGAAGGGGCAAAAGGAGCACAAAGGTAAAGTAGGAGAAGGATCAGAAAGGAACAGAAATGGACAGGAAGGGGCATCAGGGAGCAGGAAGGGTCTGCAATGAGCAGGAAGTGTCTGCAAAAGGAGCACAAAGGTAAAGGAGCAAAAAGAATCAGAAGGAGCACAAAGGTTAAGTAGAAGAAGGAGCAGAAAGGGGCAACAAGGATCAGGAAAGGGCAGCCAGGGGCAGGAAGGGTCTGAAAGGGGCAGAAGGAGCACAAAGGTAAAGGAGCACAAAGAATCAGAAGGAGCACAAAGGTAAAGTAGAAGAAGGAGCAGAAAGGGCCAGCAAGGAGCTGGAAAGGGCAGCAAGGAGTAGAAAGGAGCAGAAGGGACAGAAGGAGCGCAAAGGTAAAGCAGGAAAAGGAGAAAAAAGGAATAGAAATTAGCAGGAAGGTAAAGGAGCAGAAAGAATCAGAAGGAGCACAAAGGTAAAGTAGGTGAAGGAGCAGAAAGGAACAGCAAGGAGCAGGAAGGTAAAGTAGGAGTTGGAGAAGGAACATAAATGAGCAGGAAGGGACAGCAAGGAGCTGCAAGGGGGTGAAGGAACACAAATGTAAATTATATGAAGGAGCAGAAAGGAACAAAAATAGGTAAGAAGGGTCAGCAGGGAGCAGGAAGGGTCAACAAGGAGCAGGGAGGGTCTGCAAGAAGAAAGAAGGGTCTGCAAGGGGCAGGAAGGGACAAAAGGAGCACAAAGGTAAATGAGCACAAAGAATCAGGAAGGAGCACAAAGGTTAAGTAGAAGAAGGAGCAGAAAGAGACAACAAGGATCAGGAAGGGGCAGCAAGGAGCAGGAAGAGGCAGGAAGGGTCTGAAAGGGGCAGAAGGAGCACAAAAGTAAAGGAGCAGAAAGAATCAGAAGGAGCACAAAGGTAAAGTAGAAGAAAGAGCAGAAAGGGCCAGCAAGGAGCTGGGAAGGGCAGAAAGGAGTAGAAAGGAGCGGAAAGGGGCAGAAGGAGCGCAAAGGTAAAGTAGGAAAAGGAGCAAGAAGGTAAAGGAGCAGAAAGTATCAGAAGGAGCACAAAGGTAAAGTAGGAGCAGAAAGGAACAGCAAGGAGCAGGAAGGTAAAGCAGGAGTTGGAGAAGGAACATAAATGAGTAGGAAGGGACAGCAAGTAGCTGGAAGGGGCAGAAGGAACACAAAGGTAAAGTATGAGAAGGAGCAGAATGGGTCTGCATGGAGCAGAAAGGGATCAAAAAGAGAAAGGAGGAGAAAGGCGCAAAAGAAGCAGAAAGGTAACGGAGCAAAAGAAGCAAAGGAGGAGAGAAGACAGTGTCAGAAGAATAAGAAGACTGTGTCAAATGAAGAAGAAGAAAAGGAGATTTGAGCAAGAAGGACAAGTGAAGTGACCCCTCCACTTTCTTCTGGACACCACATCATAAGGCTTTGGAACCTGGGTCTGGCAAGGAAACTTTGGACCATCTCATCTTCCCAGGTAAAAAAAAAATATCTCCGTGTTAATGTGTCTTTTATTTTCTGAGTGTTAGGAAGCATTGAGTGTCGTTCGGTAGGGGTGTCGCTAATTTGGCTAGAGCGGTCAGCTCACTCTAAGCCAATCAGTAGCTCCCCATTCACAAAAAGTAAAACATTTTTATGAACCGGGAACTAGCGATTAACTTAGAGCATTAGCTGACTCTAGCCAATCAGTGGCACCCATGCCTGACGTCAATCTGCACTTCCTGACACTCTGTTTCAGAAGCCAAATACCACTGAGCGACCTGGAGATCTGGAGCTGGAGGAAGTCCTTGGGGTTAAACCATTTGAGAGGAACACTAAATTAAAGGATTAAAGGAACACTATAGTGATTAAAGGAACACTATAGTGTCAGAAATACATACATGTATTCCTGACACCATAGTTGTGAAAACGCTATTTACCCTGGCTTTATGTGATAATGACTATGCCCCTCCCCTTCATGACTGTCAAAAAGGGGCAAAACATGGATGTCATATAGTTATGCCTCCTTCACGCCCCCCGCCCCCCCCCCGGAAAAGTTCCTGCGGACGCCCATGCTCATACTATAGCTGATAACACCTACAACGACACAGCGGGCACCTAAGCTTCTCTAGATGGCGGTGGGGTCTTCTCCGACAGCACAGAACGTGACACAGAAACATGGCAACGCACCCAGCCTCGCTCAGTGCCCCCTGATGAGGCAAGAGGCAATCTTTCAGGACTTTTGGGCCCAGTTGCAGATGCGGGGAGACACCAGGCGCACGTGGCCATTAAAGTTCCAGCCTTTGTATGCGAACTCTCGAGTTCGTAAGGATGAGCTGCTTACCTGTACCCGAACATGGAGGGGTAGGGATACCCTGATACGACACTGCTTAGCTGTGCTCCCCAACGGACTACCAATTACCGAGTGTGGGAGTTGGCTGGTGCCTGATAACGGGTCTACTGCTGGGAAAGATGTCCCAGTGCGAGATCCAGAGGCATTCTGTATTATGTTTTACCCTGCTGATTTTGCTCTGCTATCTCTCTTATCCTTTTATGTTTATGCACACCCTTCTGTTTTTGGGTTCAGTTCCAGCAGCCTAATTGTTACCCTACACCTGGTATAGTCAGCCTCAATGTGATGCCTAACTCATGTTTAACATACCCAAAAGTGATGTCTTACTTACTTACTTAAATCATGTCTATCTAAGCAAGTAACTCATACAGATAACCATCTAGAATAAGACATGTAAAGTTCGCCTGTTATATAATCCACACTCCTTCATGTTTTCCATATAATTCTAAAATTGTGCATGTTTTAATAAATAATAAAATGTTGACATTTCAGCTCCCAACTGAGAGCTTTCAACAGGACAATTGTTGAAATATTTGGCAGACCCCACATAAGAAATCAAACCAATCCAACTGGGAATGCCAGGTCACGCTGTAGTGGTTATGGTGATGAAGTTCAAGTATTCCTAATATTTTTTCAAAATAGTTTTTCAGGTTTTTAAGAGGCTTGTTGCATAAATATCTTAAAGAACCCGTGTTTAATCTGGCAACATATCCATGAGATTACTGAGGATAATTTGGCAATCAACCTCTCAGGAAGGCTAGCTTGTCTCCATCAAGTCATATTCTCAGACCATGAAGATGATATTTACATCCTGTTTAAAGTAAATAAAGTGACCAACTGTCAAGTATTTTAAAGTTTGTTATTCTCATATAACTCATTAAATTATATTTTTCTCATTTACCTAAATAATTGATGTAAATAACAGTCAGCATAATCCTCATGTTATTAACTATTAAGAGTACATTCAAATTTTATTGAACAAACCTCCTAATGATCATAGTATTTTTTTTAAACATAAAAAACTTACAATGCACTGTTCCAAATTATTATGCACAGTAAGTTTCAAAACACTTTATAGGTTGTAAAGAACTGAAAATTGTCATTTGTTGTGTTTGCAGCATATTTACTGAAATCAAAAGCTCTTTCAATTGAACTTATAACAACATTTTAACTTTTTAAACATTTTAACTGGTCACGTTACATTTTAACATAGGACCCCTTATTTGATAGCAGCTTCACAAGTCTTGCATCCATTGAACTTGTCAGTTTTTGTACAGTTTCTGCTTGAATTTGTTTGCAAGATGTCAGAATAGCCTCCCAGAGCTGCTGTTTGGATGTAAACTGCCTCCCACCCTCATAGATCTTTTGCTTGAGGATGCTCCAAAGGTTCTCAATAGGATTGAGGTCAGGGGAGGATGGAGGGCACACCATGACTTTCTCTCCTTTTATCCCCATAGCAGCCATTGATGCAGAGGTATTCTTTTCAGCATGAGATGGTACATTGTCATGCATGAAGATGATTTTATTATGGAAAGCATAGTTCTTTCTTTTGTACCAGGGAAGAAAGTGTTCAGTCAGAAACTCCACATACTTTGCAGAGGTCATCTTTACACCTTCGGGGACCCTAAAGGGGCCGACCAGCTCTCTTCCCATGATTCCGGCCCAAAACATGACTCCACCACCGCCTTGCTGACGTCACAGCCTTGTTTGAACAGGGTGGCCGTCCACCAACCATCCACTACTCCATCCATCTGGACCATCCAGGGTTGCACGGCACTCATCAGTGAACAGGACTGTTTGAAAATTAGTCTTCATGTATTTTTCTGCCTAATGCAGCCATTTCTGCTTGTGAGCATTGGTTAGTGGTGGCCGAATAGAAGGTTTATGCACAGTTGCAAGACTCTGGAGGACTCTACACCTTGATGTCCGTGGGACTCCAGACGCACCAGCAGCTTGATGACGAAATAGGAGGGTGCGAGCAGGGAGCAATAAAACGCTTCTATTCATGCCACACATGCGCAGATACTTCATAGGGTGGCATTCATGTCTCGACTAGGAAGCACCTCTAGTGGCCATCTGAGTGTCCACTAGAGGTATTCCTCAGCAGTAATGTAAATACTGCCTTTTTACGAAATGGCAGTGGTTACATTAAAAAGCCTGCAAAGACATGCTATAGACACCAGAACTACTACGTTTAGCTGTTGTGGTTCTGGTGACTATAGTGTCCCTTGAATACAGAGAGGAAAAAAGAATCATCACAAATGTAAGAAATAAAATGTCTGTATCATTATTCTAAAAAATAAAAAAATATGCATATTCCTAGCTTAATTTTTAGCACGACATATGACACAAACATTTTGTACTTTGCAGATTACTTTTTATATTTTTTTATACATATACAGATTGTGTAATACTGCCCCTGACTTAGGGTGACCACATTTCCTAACTCATTCAGTGACACTGTCAGAAATGCATTCCATACATTTTACTACCCATCTCTACCCCTTCCATTTATATTAGAACCCCACCTACACCTTCCATGAATATTAGAACCACCCCTACCCCTCCCATGAATATTAGAACCACCCCTACCCCTTCCATGCACAAAAGAACCCCTCCTACCCCTTCCACGCATATTAACACCCCTACCCCTTCCAGGCATATTAGTACCCCCCTAACCCCTTCCATGCATATTAGTACCCCCTAACCCCTTCCATGCATATTAGAACCCACCCTACCCCTTCCATTTATATTAGTACTCCCCTAACCCCTTCCAATAATTTTTCTACCTCCCCCCTCCTCCCATCCATATTAGTAGCCCCCCTAAAACCTTCCAATTATTTTTCTACCTACCCCTCTCCCCCTATCCTTATTAGTAGCCCCCCTAACCCTTTCCAATTATTTTTCTACCTCCCCCTGCCCCCATCCATATTAGTAGCCCCCCTAAACCCTTCCAATTATTTTTCTACCTTTGTCCCCCTTTTTACCTGACATAGCAGGGGGACCTCTGGACGTCCGGCAGGCGCAGTGTCAGACTGAGCGCCGGGTAGTCACGTGACACCTGTCCAGGGCCGGTGCAAGGATTTTTGCAGACCTAGGAAAAATTAAAGTTTGCCGCCCCCCCCATGTGACATTACAATGCCCCACCCATATGATCTGCCATGTTACCTAACGCCAGTGCTGGAGTGCCGCCGTGTTTACATTAAAAGGCTATAGACACCAGAACCACTACATTAAGCTGCAGTGGTTCTGGGGACTATAATGTTTCTTTAATGTGAGGTAAATTAGAGATTAGTGCCACAAATAATATGCTAGATTGCCTACTTACAACCAGATGAGGATGATGATGGGCTCTAGCTGCAGTCTGGCTCCACTGGTCTGGTGTAGAACAGGCTCTCTGGAGGCTGTTTGTAACTGTGGTCACAAAAATCAATGTTCTGGAAGAACGTGAAGCAGCTCCATTTTTTGGGGGACCTTTACACAGCTCAAGGTCTGGGTCCCAGGGTACACCTTCATGTTCCACCAATTGTTCACAGGGGGTGGAGTGTGTAGGGGATGTCCTGATATGTGTGTAAGGAATGCATTTTGTGAATCTGTGTTTGTATGTGTAAGGACTGCAAGGCGTGTTTCTGTGTATGTACGGGATGCAGTGTGTTCGTGTGTAAGGGGTGCATTGAGAGTGGTAAGGGGTGCATTGAGTGTGTGTAAGGAATGCATTGTGTGTTTCTGTGTGTGTAAGGGATGCATTGTGTGTAAGGGTTGCAATGCTTGTGTGTGTGTCTAATTCATTGTGTGTGTAATGCATTGTGTGTTTTTCTGTGTGCAAGGGGTGCATTGTCTTTGTGTGTAAGGGGTGCATTGTGTGTGATTGTGTGTGTGTGATGGATGTCAATCTCTCCCCCCTCCCTTGTCACTCTCTTCTCCCCTTCTCCCTCTCTTGTCACTTTCTTCTCCCCCCCTTGTCAGTCTCTTCTCCCCCCTTTCCCTTTGTCACTCTCTCTCTTCTCCCTCCTTGTCACTCTCTTCTCCCCCCTCCTCCTTCTTTTCCCTCCTTGCTCACCCTTCTCCCTCCCTTGTCACTTCTTCTACCCCCTCCCTTGTCACTTCTACCCCTCCTTGTCAACTCTCTTCTCTCCCTCCCTCCCTGTCAATTTATTCCTCCCCCCATCCCTGTCAATTTCTTCCTCCCCCCATCCATGTCAATTTCTTTCTCCCACCCCATCCCTGTCAATTTCTTTCTCCCACTCCCTGTCAATTTCTTCCTCCCCCGTCAATATCTTCCTCCCCCTTCAATTTCTTCCTCCCCTTCCCTCCCCCCTGTCAATTTCTTCCTCCCCTTCAATTTCTTTCCTCCCTTCAATTTCTACATTCTTCATCCCCACCTGTCAATTTCTTCCTCCCCCAATTTCTTCCTTTTCTCCTCCCCTGTCAATTTCTTCCTCCCTTCAATTTCTTCCTCCCTCCCTCCCCTGTCAATTTTCTTCCTCCTCCTTCTACCTCTTCCTCCCTCCTCCCCTGTCAATTTCTTCCCCTCACACCTCTATCCCCACCCTCCCCCTCTGTTGTAGCATGGCCGAGCCCTGTATGGTCCGCGGGTACAGGGAGCTTTTGTTTCCTGTACCCGGCCGGACTAAAAGGAAGTGCACACTGACTCAGTCCTCCTGGACGCACCAGCCCGGGCAAAGCTGCAGCCACCTGAGGCTCTCTGCAGAGTGCTCGGGAGGCTGCAGCATGAGGGGGGCCGGCGGACCTGGGGGGGATTTCTCCATAACCTGTCCCCCTGCATGATTTGCTGGGGGGGATGCGTCCCCCCCATCCCCACCGGTTCCTACGCCCATGTCTCTTACTCCGATGCATGGATCTGGTAGAAATATTCCTCAATATACCTTTATCTGCACGAACCCGTCTGTGCTCTGAATCAGTCACAAATCTCTTAATAGTGCGAGCATTGAACTATTTCACTCTTTTTGGCAGTAGAGAGATCCTTTTTCTTCCCCATATTGCATGAAAATGGTGCTCTGCTTAATAATGTGGAACACCCTCCTTTAGTAATTTTTCCTTAAATTGGGCTCACTTGGGAATCTAATTATCACAGGTGTCCGATATTGTTTTCAGTGATCAAAAGAGCCCTGAGACACGATGCCATCCATTAGTTAAAGTGAAAAACAAAATATTTAATCTTTGTGACACTTAAATAGAATTTTCATAATAATTTGGAACAGGGTGTATTTTGCTGCCAATAAAATGCCACCACTGCAACTTTAAAAGTCTTTACAGTTAATTTAATCTGCAATTTTGTACACAGGAAATTATTAAATATTTTGCAGCATTCAGTGATATTTCACAATCCCATGTCAAGTTTATCTTTGGATAGGTTTACACATATTACCTAAAATAAATTATATACGAATAGATCTAAGAATAGTTGGATCAAAGATCTAACATTAAATTTCCTCTCTCTGATCACCACCTCTTATCATTTGTTCTTGAGAGCTGCCCACCAGGGCCGAACTGGGGATACATTGTAGCCCTGGAAAAAATCTATGCCAGCCCCATATTTTGTCACATGTAATATGTAAGGCTATGTCTTGCCTCCCTAGATGATTGAGTAATATATAAACACACACACACATATTATATATAAATATATATATATATATATATATATATATATATATAACAAATATATATTTATTTTTCTAATATAAAATTGTGGTCCTTTCAGAGTAAAACATTGAATTATACAGTAAGCATACTTACATGCAGACACAGACAATCTCACTGACACACATAACCTCATTGATACACAGCCTCATAGACAAACAAACAATCTCACTGATACACATAAGCTCATTGACCTAAAAACACAAGTTCACAGATGCACACACGTATGTTCACTATCTAGCAGGCACACACACACACAAACAAGCTCACTCATTAGCAGGCACACACACACAAGCTCACTCAGGCGCACACACACATACAAATCTCTCTCACTAGCAGGCACACACACAATCATTGTCATGGCTGAAGCTTACCTGGCACTGGTAGGTGAAGTTGCCATTTTGCCTCTTCCTTCCAGCGAGGTCAGCAATGTGCGTGGGGGCGGAGTATGCATGCTGGAGGTGGAGCTTCTGTTCAAAGGCATGGCTTCCACGCAGGAGCGGGGCATGCAGCCAAAATTGATGTAAATTGTGCAGGGAGACTGACCGGTATCCCAGTGGGCCATCTGGCCCTGTCCCCCACCCAACATCCTCAGTCTAACCCCCCCTCAACTCAGAAGAAACCTGAACTCTATTGACCTCCAGCAACTGCCAGCTGATGTCCCTTCTGAGATCTCATCCATCCCTACCCTCTCATGTCTCTATTTAGCTATCTCCTTGTATAATGCTACCCTCACCTTTACCATGGACTCTGCAGCCACGCTCCAAACATGCTCCTCAAGGAAGACGCACCTTCAACCGTGGCACACTAAGTCAACCTATCTGCATCGATGTTCCTGTTCAGTAGAATGCTGCTGGAGGAAGTCCCACACTTTGTCACACTGTCTCCATTATAAATTAATCTTATGTACGTACAGCGCAGCCCTCACCCTTGCTAAACAATCCTACTTTTTCTCTAGTTAGATCATGCTTACGCAATCCTAGGCATCTCCTTGATACCTACACTCTCTCCTTCGCCCATCAGAAGCCACCCCCCAAACAAACCCTTCAGCCAATAGCTTTGCATGCTACTTTATGGACAAGATTGAACAGATAAGGAAATAATTATCCTCCTCCTCTCTCTAGCAACTGCACCTGTACCGTACCTTCCCTACCATGCCTTCTCCCTTGGTGCAGATAGGGAGGGGACTGCGCTTCTCCTCTCCTCTCGTTCTTTGGTCCCCTTCAGTTCTCTCTTTATACTGCCTCTCTAAGCAAATGCATTAATTCCTTTGGATTCTGCTACCATCTGTATGCTGACAACACCCAGATATATCTCTCCTCCCCTGATCTCTCCCCCGCGGTCCAACATGTTATTGCTTTCTTCAAACTCTGCTTTCTGAAACTCAATTTCCTCCCACTTTCTGAAACTCAATTTCTCTAAAACTGAGCTTCTTATTTTTCCTCCTCATAATGCTGATCCTCCTCATTCGCTTTCCCTGCATGTTGATGGTACTTGCATCGGTCCATCCTTGCAAGCTCGTTTTGGTGATATCTTTCATCCTGGCCTTACCTTTGCATCTCATATCCAATATGTTGCTAAAACCTGTTGATTCTACCTAAAAAAAAAAAAAACACAAAAAAACCATTGCCCGCATCCGCTCCTTACTCAAGCAAAATGTTGCCAATGAGCTTGTTCACGCTCTGGTAATCTCTCGCATGGATTACTGTAATGCTCTCCTAGTTGGTTTCCCCAGAAGCTGAACTGCCCTGCTACAATTTGTAATGAATGCTGCCGCCAGGCTGATTTTTCTCACCCATTGCTCTATCCATACCTCACCTCTCTGTCGATCCCTACACTGGCTTCCTGTATTCTATATGTGTCAATTCAAAATACTAACCCTTACCTATAAAGCTTTAAACAACTCTAGTCTATGTTACATTTCTTCACCGATTTGTAAATATGCCCCTTTTTCTGCTAACTCACACTTGCAGGACTTTTCATGGGCAGCTCCTTTCCTATGAAACAGCCTGCTTAGCCCTATTAGACTCTCTCCTAGTCTTCAATCCCTCAAAACCCATCTGTTTAGAAATGCTTATGGCCTCCCAGAGAAACTTCTATGTCACATATCTGTCTCTGGCTCTCTCCTAAAGAGCCACACTTCACTCTCCTCTCCTCGCTGCCATATTGTGTTTTCATATCCCTCCTCCTCTAGACTGTAAGCTCGTTTGAGCAGGGTCTTCATCTACTTTTTGTTCCTGTATGATTTTGTAAATGTCTAGTTTATTGTTAAATCTCCCCCGCTCAGTATATTGGAAAGCCCTGCGTAAAACATTGACGCTATATAAATACCAATAATAATAACAACCCTGGAGACATGCATTGTTTATGAATGCAGGATTTATTTATAGAAATGTTATGTCCAATTCCATGTAATAATGTTTTAAATATTTCTTTACACTAAATTACCCCCTAGGTGGAGACATTTCATTACAAAACAACTTTATATATTTTGTCTGTTATTTTATTTCCAATTTTAACAGATACGACGGAAACCATTCTTTATCTTTGTTACGTGTATGATTACTGAGTCTCCTTTTTAAAAAGAAAAAAGAAAAAAATTATCTATCTATCTTTATGATAAACACTCATTGTAGGGTCAGCATCCACTGCTTCTAGTGAAAACGTACCAGCAGTGGTGTATTTTGGATATGTGCTACCCTAGGCATGTTAAAACTGGGGCATCCCCCTACCGGTTTAACACGAACACGCAGTTTGACTGACAGACACACTCTGACACACCCATTCACTGACAGGCACACATTCTCAGATTCACATACAGTGATATACATTCACTGACTGACACACACTGGCAGACACACACACTAACCGATACACACTCTCAGACATACACTCACTCGGACACACAAGGACCGACATGCACACACTCACTCGGACACACAGTGACCGACATGCACACACTCACTCGGACACATAGTGACACACATGCACACACTCACTCAGACACATAGTGACAGACATGCACACATTCACTCGGACAGAATGACAGACACACACATTCACTGACAGATACCCTTTTACTGACACATTCACACACTTACAAAGTATTATATATATTTTTAAAATATTGATTTTAATCCACCCAGCATCCCTACCTTTGGGAGAGCTGGAGTGGATTCTTCCCTAGTGTCCAGTGGCAATAAGCTGGTGTATTTACAATTTAAAAATAGTTAAACTTCACAATGTATGGAAGTATTGTTGATGACCACATCTATCTCTTTAGAACTATCCTCTACTCCTTTTTAAATACCTCTTCATGTCTTAAAGCATGGATTATATAAGACTGGCTCTACGAACATGTAAGAGACCTCGTTATCTAACCTAACCATGCACTTTTTGGCTTAGTTGGAATATATATTTTACAACACAAACATGAGGCTAAAAAAACTAAATCGACTTGTAAAGAAGTTCTGTGAAGAGTTTGTGATCTTGTAGAGACAGTCAGAGGGTTCCTAGATCTATAACAGATAGATAATCTACTAAATGAATTATTTTTTTGTTATATAGTACCTGTACAGACTTCCATAAGCACATTTATTCCTCAGTTTAACCACAGAATGTACATGTAAAATGGAAAATTGCTGATTCAGAATCAAATAAGATTTTAACACTTACTGTTTAATATCAGAGAGAGTTCAATGTTTTTCTTTTTTGGGTCGTTTATTTTGCAGGCAAGAGGTTGTATGTTTCTTTTAAAACATTTAGTATTATGTGTTCCGTGGCACATTGCAGATTTTATAACACTATACTTTCAGAATATTTATAATAATATTTATTAATATTAGAATAGCAAAGTTTGTTACATTTCACATGAGAACAGAAGATCAAACACTGTGGAGGTGGCATCTGTTAATTCCTAAACAGATTGCACTGTACATCTTATTCCTTTACTTAAGGACCGTAAAACAAACCTTATGCACGTCATGATTTTGGCACTTTCTTTATACCTAAATCTGCAATAATTTAAGCTATAGCACTTCAGCATTGCATGGCGTTACTGTCATTATGTTTTAACACACATCTAAAGGGTTAGGCAGGGTCTTTATTATCGTTAGAAAGTATCTTCCATCTGTGCTTCTACTGATTGCTCTCAATTATTAGCAATCAGAAATAAGTACACATTTTGTCAGAATAATTTGCCCTTCGATCATAATAAGGAACAGCAAGAATGGGATCACATTCTTGGACTTGTGCTTCTGTTCGATTTTCTGTCTGTCTGTCTCCATGTTCTATTTAGTAGCACTGCATAGGATTCTCTGGGTGCATGTCTGTGTCAGAAACCACAAAAATATACCAGTGAGATTCTTAATGTCACTGCATTAAGGATGGCAGTTAATAGTTACCTTTTGTATTGCTCTGTGTATTTTGGACATTTTTACAGCACTCCAGAATATTTAGAGCTTTATAAATGCCAATGATAAATACATAAACAAATAGATGTACTCGTGCTTATATAACAAGCATGCAAGGATAATGCTAACGGTATGCATTAACAGGTACTTATGTGGATCATAACATTTGATTTATGATGTAGTTTAAAGACAATAAACCGTGGAATTCTGGGGAAAATATATTTCATGGTTCCTAAAAACTTTTCAACCCATTCACTACAAAGCGGTTTGATTACAAAAAATACAACCAGAATCTGAGTATTTTGGGTGTCTTGGAGAGTAATGTGTACATGTATTTTTCGTTTCAGTATGCATAGACAGCACATTATTTCATGTGAACGAAAACAAACATTTTGATTTGACATAAATACTTTTAAAAAGATCATGTATTAAAGAATGACGTTACATATAGGAAAGCAGTGGTGCAAATAAATAACATTTCTCAATAAGTAACATGGACTGTTTTCCCCATATAGTTAGTCTACAATCCTCCATAATGTTTTCTAGTCCATAATCAGTATGTCTGTGAGTGAATGTGTGTGTCAGTATGTGTCAGTGAATGTGCAGGTCTGTCAGTGAGTCTGTTTCTGTCAGTGTGTGTCTGTGAGCGAGTCAGTGTGCCTGTCAGTGTGTGTCTGTCAGTCAGTGGCGTACACATGACCCAGTGTGTCTGTTAGTGTGTCTGTGAGTGAATGTGGGTCTGTCAGTATATGCCTGTGAATTGATGTGTGTATCTGTTAGTATATGTCTCTGAGTGTGCCTCTGTTAGTGAATGTGTGTGTCAGTGAGTGTGTGTGTGTGTCTGTCAGTGAATGTATGTCACTGTATGTGTATTTGAGAGTGTGTGTGCCTGTCAGTGGGTGTCTGCCAATCAAACTGTATGTTCATCTTAAACAGGAAGAGGAGAGGCCTTGACAGGAATGGGCGGGGCAAATTTACATTGGGGTGCCCGAGTTTCGTTACACCTAGGGCAGCACAAATCCAAAATACACCCCTACTAGTACACAGACACACACTCTGATATACACACAAACACACTTATGTGCAGAGACACATAACACACATACATAGACAGATATAGACACACAATCACACTGTATGTCTGTCAGTGTGTTTTGGTACCTGTCTATGCATGTCAGACATTGTGTAGCACGTATGTACCTGAGCGTGTGAGTATCCTTGTGCGTCTATGAATGTATATCTGTGTGTATCAGTGACTGTGCCTGGAATGCATATCTGTTTTTGTGTGTTTGTGTCTCGGAGTGTGTGTGTGTGTGTGTGTTGGAGATGCTTGCAGTGTGTTTTGTGTATGGGGGGGCTGCTTGTGGTTTGAGAATTACTGTCTATAGGTAAGTGAAGTGTGTATAAGGGTGACTGTGTGGGAGGTAATTGTGACAGGGTGAATGCATGTTAGAGGGGACTGTGACAGGGTGAATGTGTGTGAGAAGTAGGTGTAAGGGGATGACTGACGGGGTGAATGTCTGGGTGGCTACTGTGTGAGGGGTGGATGTTTGGTGGTGACTGTGACAAGGTGCATGTGGGGAGGAGTGAGTTAAGTGCGAAAAGGATTACTGTGAAAGGGTGAGCTGTGGGGAAAGATTGTGTGTGGGGAGGCTATGTTTCTCTGTCCAGTCTCACCACACTGTTGTGTTTTTATTTTAGTAGTGAGGGAGTTATAATATTTATTCCCTGTTCCAGCTGTTTCCTTGACGGTCTGGTGGGTTGCCATAGGGATCTGCAGACCCCTTTGAATGTCCCTTTTTGGCTTTGACCTGGGTTCTTCCTGCACAGAGAGCAGATTAGGGCCGTGCAGGAAGATCTGTTTGTTCATGTTGAAAAGTATCAAAATGGTGGGATTGTGAATGATGACATTGTGAACAAGTTGATAAATACCTAAAAATAGATTGTGATGTACCTCATTATGAGAGTTAATCATATCAAATTAATCAATTTCCTATCCCTTACCACTTTAAATTATATTATTCATAACTAGGTTTTACTTTAATTTGGTGAAGGCACAGAACCATTTGTTTTGTAAGATGTTGTTTTCATGTGTGTGTTTACCCAAGAATACACTGATCTTTCTATACAATAACCGTTGATTTCATCACAGATAATGCCGCCATTGTGTTTGTTTTTGCACAGGTGCAGGGTGGAAGGATGCTTCACGCCAGGCTTCTTTTTCTACTTCTTGTTCTCTGCATGGCCCGTTCTAGTATTCAATACAAGTTGTACAAAGCAGAGTCAATATTCAGCTGCCTAAAGGAAGCTCTTGAGGAGGCAAAAAGGAGAAGTTTTGAGGATAACTCCATTCTTAGTAAGAGAGGCTATGATTTTGAACCAAGAGAACAGCTTTTATCCCAGCAAGAAGAAGAAGAAGAAGACGAGGAAGAAGACGAGAAAGAGAAAAGAACATTTCCAGCTGCCCGCTACAGATACCTGTCACAGGCCCAGATGAAAGGTAAACTCTATCAGAACAAGGCAAAAAGTGATCGCCGGACCAAATTCACTCTTTCATTGGATGTGCCCACTAAACTTATGAATATTTTGTTCGACATTGCCAAGTCTAAAAAGATGAGGGCAAAGGCTGCAGCCAATGCACAGCTCATGGCCCAGATTGGCAGAAGAAAGTAAGACTGGCCTGGCCTTGTGTGGGTGAAGAGGGAGGGTATAAAAGCTGGCACTGGACTGGTGTCATAGAATTCCCTTCTGTACACACACATGGCCGCATCACAGAACTTTTCTTTGTACAGTGCATTGCTATATTCTAAGTCCTTCAAAGCTGCATTTATTTCCCATATGTTTATACCCAAGGGTTGAAGTTTCAATCCCCCTTTACCTTTTAATTTTTTTTTAGATTTTCTTTCTTTCAGTTGCCCTCCTCAAAATCTTTGTTGTTTTCACAGTCTCCAGTTCTGATTGGTTTTGTTCTCTTAGTATTACATTCTATTTTTGTTTTGTTTGTATTCACTTCCTTAGAAGGGAGATTTTAATGCAAGAAATTTAAAATTATTTTAAAAAAAAGTTTGCATCTCCCACTGTGATGTTTTTGGATTTTTTTTGGATTTTATTAAAACAAGTCATTTCTGAAAAATCCATGCATGTTTTGGATTTGTGTTTTTGCTTTTTTCATAACATGTAAGAAATGAAAACCAAGAATGGAAATACTGCTTTTTATACTATAGACTGATTGCTGCACTTATAGTGGGCATGGCTTCAAGAAAGAAAATATTTTGGCAGTGGTCTGGTGTTAATTGGATTGTCCATATTGTGACTTAGTATGTCTATCATACCTAAGTAGGACTAACAGCATTTAAGCAGCAATGCTCTTTTATGGCTCTTATGATTAAACAGACCGCAAACCCATGTACCAAATTCTCCCACCAGCACAATAACATGCTTAGTTATTCATGAAACCATATTTGTTGGGAATTGACCAAGGAATTGTACATTGTATGCCAACGTGACCGAATAGAAAAAAAAAAATCTTCTGTTCAGCTACTTTGTCTAAAATTTGCAATTTCCATGTCAATTCCAAACAACTCCTTTTGGTGAATAACAATTTGTGTGTTTTCTCTACTGACTTATTTGCGTTAATATATATACTCCCATATATCCTCTGTCTTATATTCCAAATACAGATAAATACTTGATGAGTTATATTTCCCTATATTTTTTACTTACAAAACATTTATTTTATGATGTTTAAAACATGGTAATTCAAGAACCAGTGCTAAAAATGTGCTTGAGGTACAAATAAAATTTAATTGATTATATATGAATAACATTGTGTCTTGTGACGATTTGTACTATCTTCCTTAAAGCATGTTTCCACCGATATGGTCAATTAATTTTTAGTAATAGATTTTTAGGATGGCAGTTGTTAAAGATGGAATTAAAGATTAGAGTGTTAGAGGAGATGGGTAGGTTGTATTTGTCACTTAAGACAACCACAAAAGTCCCAAAAGATAAACCCCAAGCTTGTGAAACTTTTGTAAGTAAACAAAGTTCCCAAACGGAAAACCATGCAGTCTCCCATTAATCCTGCCATAATAAACCTGAAATACATTCTATGCTGGGGAAACAGAATACGGTGGAAAAGGAACTGACTGATTGCCCAGATAGTTGATGCTTGCAATTGTTGGAACCTTTCAACCTTTAGGACAATCAGACAGTTAGTCAGTTCTCTAACTTTTTGACAAATACTTCTAAAGCACTGTCTAGCTTCACTTCATTAAAGCACCTTTGCTATACACAGTTTAAATTATGTTCAGTGTGTCGGGTATTATGGGCCGATTTCGGTGTGAAAAATAAGAAATGATGATGTTATTGTATAGTTGTTTTGTGACTGTTCAAAAAACTGTTTACACTTTTGAAAGAGGTTTCAAAAGCTTTGGAAAAATAGGTAGATTGGCAGATAATTATGGGATGGTAAGTGAAAAATACATAAAAGTTCAAGAGTCCACTAAGGGGGGAGGGGGGGAGGACTCATTAAGGAGGGTGGGGGGAGAGGAGAACGTGGAAGGGGGGGTGAGGAGAATGGGGTGGAGAGTCCACTCAAGAGAGGGGGTGAGAACATGGGGGGGGGAGACTGCTAAGGGAGGTGGAGGAGAGACCACCAAGGGGGGTGAGTGAGGAGAGACCCCACTAAGGAGGGAGGGGGGGTGGAGGAGAGACCACTAAGGAGTTAGGGGGTCGAGGAGAACCAATCACCTAATGGAAAGGGTGGGGAAATGGGAGAGACCACTCACGGGGGGAGAGGAGAGACAAACAATGGAAAAGGGGAGAGACCACTAAGGAGGGGGAGGAGAGACCACTGGAGGGGGGGGCAGAGGAGAGCAGAGACCACTAAGGGGGAGACGAGAGATGACTAATGGAAAGGGGGGGAGAGGAGGAGAGACCACTAAGGGGGGGCGGGAGAGTAGCGACCACTAAGGGACAGGGGAGGAGAGGTGAGATCACTAAGGGGCAGGGGAGAGCTCTATAGGACAGGGGGCAGGGGAGAACTCTAAGGGACTGGGGTAGTAGAGAGCACTAAGTGATGGGGGAGCACCAAGGGACGGGGGTGGTAGGAGAGAGCACTAGGAGACAGGAGGGAAGAGCTCTAATAGACAGGAGGGGAGAGCTCTAAGGGACAGGAGGGGAGAGCTCTAATGGACAGGAGGGGAGAGCACTATGGGACAGGAGGGGAGAGCACTACGGGAAAAAGGGCAAGGAGATGACTAAGTGACAGGGGAGCTCACTAAGGGACAGTGGGGCAAGGTAGAGAACTAAGAAACAGGAGGGGAGAGAGGCTGGGGAAGGGGGAAGGGGGGAGGAGAAGCACAAAGGGGCCGTAGGACTCAGCCTCTATCCTACCCCAAAAACTCTCTCTTTCACACTACGCGTACACACACACACAGTGCATCCCTATACATACACAGAAACACACAATGCATCCTTACACACAAATAAACACAACATGCTTCCCTTACACACAGAGAAACACACAATGCATCCATTACACACACACACACACACACAATGCAACCCTTACACACAAAGACAATGCATCCTTTGCACACATACACAGAAACACACAATACATCCCTTACACACAAACACTCACCATTTTCTATTCCCTACACAAACACACACTGTATCACCTACACAAACTGGTATCCCTATACACTACATGCCATAATCACACACTTTAGATCATCTACACTAACACATCCCCTACACCAGGCTTGCCCAAACTCCGGCCCTCCAGATGTTGCTGAACTACAACTCCCATGATTCTCATCATATCTATTTCATTCATAGAATCATGGGAGTTATAGTTCAGCAACATCTGGAGGGCCGGAGTTTGGGGAAGCCTGCCCTACACACTCCACTCCCTGTGAGCAAACTCATGGATGGAACATGTAGATGGACGTATGGGTGGGCCTTATGGGTATACTCACAGTCAGGCCCTGGGGCCCAGACCTTGAGCTGTGTAAGGGGCCCCAAAGAATGGAGCTGCTTCCCATTCACCCAGAACATTGATTTCTGTGACCACAGTTACAAACAGCCTCCAGAGAGCCTGTTCTACACCAGACCAGTGGGGCCAGACTGCAGCTAGAGCCCATCATCATCCTCATCTGGTTGTAAATAGGCAAGCTAGTATATTAAATGTGGAACTAATTTCTAATTTACCTCACATTAAAGGGACACTATAGTCCCCAGAACCACTGCAGCTTAATGTAGTGGTTCTGGTGTCTATAGCTTGTCCCTGCAGGCTTTTTAATGTAAACACACACTGTGTGCAGCACTGGCGTTAGTTCATATGGCAGATCATATTTAATTAATTTCTCTTTTGCCTAGGGCAGCTAAAATCCATGCACTGGCCCTGGGTCCACCCTTAAATAAACTCACCATCTTGTTCCTAGAGTGTTACCTGTGTTTATCTGTTCTTGTACTACGTTGGTGGATTCAGCAGTGTCCATCTTGACATGGAGCACACCTCCTTGGGAGATGGCCAGATGGTAACGCAGAACCTGTGTGTAGGGTTTGCCGATTCTTAGGTAAAGCAGGACAGGGACACCAATGAGCAAATTAAAGAAGAAATAGGAAGGTAGGAACGGAGGAATAAAGTTATCAATGTGCTGACTGGTTTTCCACAGCACAATGTAGAAAGGCTTCTAACAGAGAAGCATCTGATTATATGCATCTCTATGAAAAACTTGTGCGTGCAGCATAGCGAGTGACGCACATACATTTTGCCTTCCAATGCTTCTTCATGAGAAGCATTGGATTGACCGGGAGATCTTGTCACAAGAGAGAAGAGGAGCTGCAGAGAGGAGAGCCTCTCACCACTGACTTAGAGGTAAGGCATCCGTTTTTATTAAGTTTTTTGGGGGGGTTTTGTCTTCTGGGGGCACAGTCATCTAGGGCAGTCAGAAAAACTCCAGAGTTATAAATACATTTATTATAAACACTGAAGTTACTTTTTAAAGTTGTCAAACTATTGAGGGTGTTGTAGTACTACAGTAGACATGGATTTACATTTTTGTCGCACCTGCTCTTACCACTGTCATGCCAAACTTACCTTTCCCCAAACGCTTCCTCTTCTCTCCCTCTCTCAGGATATATTATTTTCTTCCTGTCTGCTCTAGTTTTCTTTAAAACACAAGACAAAGTAAGGACCATTTTGGGAATTAGGGAGCTATTTACTGCAGCACGAATAGATCGGTGTTTAATTCATTCGAATGAAATTCTGATCCAAACGAATGGACAAATTTGGTAGTTTCGCCAGTGTTCAAACGCCAGATGAAGTAGCAGGAGGAAGGTGAGAATTGTGGGAAAATTGCTTTGACCACAGGAAATGGAGCGGACTTTGTTCATCCCCTGTGTCATAGCTGGTCAAGCATACAAAAAATACAAAAGACAAAATAATCCCTACTTTGTCTCTTCCCCTCTGCCCCAGGCTCTCTCTGCTCTGCCCCAAGCTCTCCACCTCTGCCCCAAGCTCTCCCTGCATTGCCCCAAGCTCTCCCTGCTCTCCCCCACTGCCCTAGGCTCTCCCTGCTCTCCTCCACTGCCCCAGGCTCTCCCTGCTCTGCCCCAGGCACTCCCTGCTCAGCCCCAGGCACTCTGCTCTCCCCCCCCCCTTTGCCCCAGGCTCTCCTTGCTTCCCCCCCTCTGCCTCAGGCTTTCCCTGCTCCCCCCCCCCTCTGCCCCAGGCTCTCCCTGCTCTGTCGCAGCTCTTCCTGCTCTCCTCTCTACCCCACTTCCTCCCAGCTCTCCAGACGGCTTAGAGGGGGCCCTAAGTGCATGGGCCATCTGATGGACTGGTGGTTCCCAGCCAGTGCGGCTGCACGGACAGGGCCGCCATTACCAATTTCTGTTCATGTA